CCCTCCGCCACGTCGCGTACCATCATGGGCGCCGGAGTGCCGATGAGTGCGGCGCCCATGGGCGGAGCACCTGGAAACGATGCCTGGGGAGGACGGACTCAGTCACCTTCGGTGGCCTCGGGTTCCTCCAACGAAGGCTGGCTGCAGACCAACGGCAACGCCAATCAGAACGGTCGAGGCGCCACTCCGGCCGGACCTCCAGCCGAAGGTTGGTTGATAAAATCCACTGCAACCGGGTCATTGGGAGCTGCGCCTGTCAACCATGCGGCAAACAATGGCAGCTCATCTGCGGATCCTTGGCTGGCAGAGCCATCTGCCTCGGCGGCAGGAGGAGCGGCAGCCGCTGGCTTAGCGGATCCCTGGGCGGCAGGAGCGGCACCTCAGACGGCGGCGCTGGACGATCCCTGGAAAGCCCTGGGAACAGGCGCCATCAAGGTAGAAAGTCTTATTTTTTTAAGCCATGGAACATTTTGAATTACCGCTTTAGCCGAGCCACTCATTTAATTATAGTTTTGGGGTAATTGAACTGCATAGACAATTCAATTTCCCACCACTTGACTAATTGCATTCAGCTAATCGAATATCATAATGGGATTTTGCATTTGCTCAACTATTTTAACAAAGTCTTTAAAAATGAGCTCTCAATAATTTGAATTTAAATTTTGTATTTAAAATTGTAAATTTCTTATCGTAAATAATTCAGAATAGAAGTTTGATGTACATTTTATTCACCAACATAATAATTAAATATTTACTTGAATTTCAGAAACAATCCCCCGAGTTTGATGAGTTCGACCTTATTACCAACAGGAACAAGAGTGAGTTAAGCAATTCCCACGCCTCCAACAACAACAATGGTATGTTTTTAATAAGACAACTGTTAACTTATTTAAGCTAATCACTATTAAACCACTTCCAGCTTCTCTGCTTGATGATATGGATCCGCTATCGGCGAACTACGGAAATGGAGGTATAAACAGCAGTATGGGTTCTGTGCATCCGTCGACGGGCGCCACGGCAAAGAAACCACTGAAGGATGCTCACTCGTTCCTTGGCGAGAACTCCGCACTGGTCAACCTGGACAATCTAATCAAGCCCACTGCGCCACAGACGCAAACGGGAAATGCTCCTGCTTACAATCCCTTCAGCGACAACGTGATGCCACCCAAGACGAATCTATTCCAGCAACAGCAGCCAGCCGTAAGTGGAGTCTTACGATCTGATTTAAATATGTATAATATTAGCTAAATGGGTTTCTCTGTTTTATCTTTTTAGGTGCCGTCCATCAATCAGCTGAAACAGCAGGCTCCCTTCTCAGTCAGCATGAACCAGGATCCCTGGGCACCCGTAATGGGTGGCGTTAGTGCGACCTCACAGGTGAGTTGGCCTGCACTTGGAGATTGAGTGCGTCTGCGGGTGTGGGGAAACTTATTGTACTTGTACTCGTATCTTGATAACTCTATTGAGGTTTTATCTCTGATAATTTATCGGTACTTTTGTTTACTTTTCGAAACTATCTTATCATTTCACGTGTGCATTTTGTTTCCTTTTACTATCGTTTGTCCTTCTGTCATTTCGTTTTGAGCAATTGTTGCATGCGAAACCCGATAACCCAGCCAAAACTACCGCCCCCCGTGCGTCCCACTAGCCTCAATTTGGGGCCCTCGTCAGTGGGGGAATTTCAGCTGTTGAGTGCGTTTAGTAATCCCGTCATTCCCCCCGCCTACATCCCTTCCCAGCCACAGCAGAATTCACAGGTCTACAACTATGCGTACCAAAGCAGCAGCAGCAGCAGCGGCAGCGCCATCAATATTCGTGGCAACGGCAACATGAACAGTTCCACTAGCAACAGCACCTTATATAGCACCTATGTGAGTCCGAGCCCTGGCATCGATGGCATCCGCAACATGGACATATTCAGCGAGCGCCCCTGTTACAACAGTCCAACAGCACCGGCCGACGATAGCTTTATGTACAACCGAAACGATAATAACAATATCAGCAGCAACTATGGCACCCCCAGACTTTATTCAAGCTATGCCGCCAGCTACAGCAGTGCCCTATCCGACTCGCTGGCCGAAACCCCGGGCGTTAGTGTGTCTCCCATGGGCTTTGTGGCCGATCCTGTCATGAGCTATGGCCCCCCATCCTCCTCGGCCAACCACTGCAAGCTGGAAGTGAGTTTGCTGCCGCTCAAGTGCTCGTTGCTGCCAGTCCGTCCCACTACTACTTCCTCTGCCGCAAATTGTCGGTTTTGTTCAGCTTGTGTTTTCTCTTTAGTCTTGAGTTTATTCTTTGTTGATTTAGTTCTTTTGGTTTAACTTGCAAGAACGAGAACTTCAAACTGCTAACTGGGGAGTGCAGCAGAGGAAATTGTGTTTTAAGAAGCGTTTAGCTAAGTAACATAGCTCAAAACTTGCCGTACATTTAGGTATTAGTATAAAGGGTTCCTTTTAATACGGTTTCCTTTGCTGCTCCTCTGAAACAAACAAATAACGTACGCATTATAACCAAATGAAGCTCTGCTAAAACCCAGTTGATCCATAACATTTTCTAATTGTAGCCATCAATGGAGGCTTGGACGCTTAAATAAAACACATACAATATGCAATAAATGCAAATGGGTAAAATGTTTTTCGAATGTGCATGCTCCGCTAGCTAACTCGTAGTCTTCCCTTCTAACAACTAAAACCACTAAATTAAACTTACTTACTTAGCCTGAAGTTGGCTGAAGTAACTCTTAACTGTGCATTTAGTTCGCTTATTGCTAGCAAATTAGCTTTACTTACATCCAAATAGCTAACTTAAACTGATGAAAACTTTGATTTTGCAGCAAAATAACAACATGCCGTGGATCAAACCGGAAGCAACAACAAATCCGTTTTTGTCGTAAACTGGCGCGGATCAATCAACAGCAATGTGAGCTGGAGCAGCAGCGGAATCATCAACTAAGCGAACGTCAACTAAATAAGACATAAGACCTGGCTGGTGTACGGAGCTGTCCAATAGCGTTAGCAACAATAGCAGCAGAAGCAACCAATTTTAGCCCTACATAACTGCAAAGAGAGAAATATGAATTAATTAATAAATTATGTGTAAGGAAGTATTATTAAACTGTAAAATATGTGATGTACGTGAGAGAGAAAGCCAAGATCCAGCGACGGGAAGCGAAGAGGAGTAGCAACAGCAACGACACCCAGCCTTGATGAGTAGAGAAATCCGCCTGAAGTTCGCGCAGGAAGCTTACATTCAAATAGAACTTGAGTCTAAACACATTTGCAATAACTAAACCTGTAAACCAGCCCATAAAATAGCATATGGCATCTCCAACGTCACTCAACTGACTATGAAATTATTCACCCTCTAATTCTAACGTTTTTAAAGCTCATTGGTAATATTGTGCCCCCAAGCTGAGTGGATGTTGGAGATCGCCCATTGGCAGTCTTTATGTACTTCCTTACTTGATCCTTAACTGTTAAATAAGTTGTATGTATCCTTGTTAAGGCATAAACCAAGAAGGCAAGCGGTAAAAGGTAATCCGATCGAGTCCAAGCGAGAGATGAAAATTAAGGATAACTAAAAATTGTTATATAGCTTTAAAGATTGCATTGGTAAACAAATCATGTTACAAACAATGGTAAACAAATTATGTGTGCTTGTAATTGTACATTTTTTACGTTCTTATTTTGTGAAATTTATTATGCGCGCGTGTTGCAGAAACCAAATACAATTATAAATGGCTTTTGGCTATCGATTTTTAAAAACATTTGTACGATCTTTTCAAGTTGACAGTTGATTTGTTTGTGCATTCGCTTTTGGTCCGCCTTCAAGACACAATGCATTCACGAGTTTGCTGTTCAAACATTTTTATAGCGACTAGTTTAAAATTTACAAAAACCTTTGAACACATATACAAAGAACAAGATTACAAGAGCAAAACGCGAACGAAAACGAGAACTAAAACAAAACAATACAAAACAAAAAATGATGGTATACATTTAGGCTAGAATACGTAACGAATTGTATAAGCGTAACTTAATGATAACAAAATATACATATACATAAAAGAGAAGTCGATTTGGTGTGAATTTATGCTTAAGAAATGTACATGCCTAACTAGCAAGCGTATACACCCCTTTTATATATATATGAAAACACACACCACCAAAACCCAACCCCCGAAGAAACCTACATACACTTGCGAAAATGCAAATTTTAAGCATATTTTCATATTATTAAAATTTTATTTTAACTAAAAAAAAAAGCGAAGAAAATCCATGTAAAAGTCAGACCCATTTTGATGCTCCCATTGCACAACTAAGCGGGTGGCGACTGAGTGTGCCAATGCCCGAGGCCTCCACTTGACAGCCAGCGCCAGCGTTCAACACTTTGTTGGGGCATCACACTCATGTCGGTGTGTATCGGACAAAGGCAATCCCCAAACCCAAACCCGATCCCGATCCCCAAACCCGATCCCGATCCCAGCAGCAATGGCAGCACGATTATGTTAATTTCGGGGGCCGCCAGAGTGCAACATTAACGGAGCACGCCCACCGCATATGGCAGTGATATTTTGGCCAGCTGGGATTGGGATGTGGATGTGGATGTGGATTCGGGATGGGGCTGGATATGGATTGCTGGATGTGGATGTGGATGTGGCTGTTGCGCAAGTGGCTGGCAAGCTGGCAGGCTGGTTTCGGTTTTGATATTTGACATGCGCCAGGGGCCATCAGGAAACTTCGTTTAAATGAAATCAAAATGCACAAATACATAATTTACACAAATTTAGCGTCGACTGGCGGTACGAGTTTATCGCCTGGCTTGGGCACGAAGTGAAGCCAGAGCGGCGGCTCCTCAGATGGCTGGGAAATCGCTGGCGGATTGTATAATGCATCGAGTGCACCAGGAGCGATGCACATCCACCACATGCAGGAAGAACTGATTTAAAGAGTGCCAAGCTGGGGTTTTTATTAGACATATTTAAGAAAGTGAGTAATATTTTACTCCATGCCACCTATGTTAATTTCATTGTCCGTTTCCAGGACGTTGAAGATCCAGGTCACATAGTTGGCCAACCGGGTGTAGACGCCCGGAAAATGTGCATCAGCACAGCCATGGGCGAAGGACACGATCCCATAGCTGCTGCCGCGATGCACCAAAGGAGCTCCTGAGTCCCCGTAGCAGTGATCCCTTCCAGCGGCCGCAGCACACAGCATGTTGTCCGTAATTGGTCGGTTCAGGTGGGAGTAAAGTCGGCGACAGCGTCTCTGATCTATGGCCTCCACCAGAGTGCCACGTAGCCGTGGTGACGAGTCACTGTCATTGGCACTTACTGTGCCCCAACCGGCAACCAAAAGATTCCGGGGAAGGACATTGAGTCCTGGCAGCGGGAGCTTAACCAGTTGAACGTTTCCGCCCAAACGGAAGGACTTGCTAGTCCTCAACAAGGCAATGTCGTTGTCCAAAGTTCGTATTTTGAACTCCGGATGGAGTATGATCCTGGCCACATCCCTCACCTGACCACCCTCATCAGCAGATGCGGATCCTGCTCGAACCATGTATCTGCCCGGATAGTAAACACAATGTCCCGCCGTCACAAGCCACTGAGTGGTAATCAAGGCCGAGCTGCAACTATAGTTTCCATTCACACTCAATGTAGCCAACCAGGGCGACAGGTGAATGGGCAGTTCCACACCACCTACGATCCGTTCCTGCGGCGATTTAGCCAGTATTTTATGGCCCCAAATGAGCCATAAAACCAGCGCCGAAAGTTTCATCATCCGTACAAAAACAAATCGACCGTAAAGTGCCATTCTTGGCCGGCAACTGAAAGTCAAGTTCTTGACCTTTGGGCGCGAGCTCCAGGTCAGAAAAAATCTAGCAGAATCAAGAATGCTAATGACCCCCAGCTTTGGCTGGCGACCTAATGGCGTTCGCATAAGTGATTGGCCAATTAATATGTTTGGCGGAATTCTCTCTGATTATCTGGTTTTTTGTAAGCACGCGGAACGGAGGTCTCATAAGAGTTTTAAGATAACTATTTAATCATTTCATTGTTCACTCTTAAAATCGAGAAATGGTTATAAAAATAGATTTTTTATTTTTTGTAGTACATTTTCGATAGTTAAAATAAATTAAAAATGAATTCTATCTGAAATTGAAACAGCAGATTTTTGAGGGGAATTTGCATTTCAAATATAACTTAATAATTTTACATAAAGACCGAATTAGAGCACGAAATATAACTAAAAAATTTAACAATTGATACTTATATAGATGTTTTTTATTTCGAAATTAATATTTAAGAAATTAATACTTTCGATTAACTTTCTTTATCCAGCGAACGTACAGACACACATTGACATAGACACCTGGGTATTTGGCTCTGGCGCAACCGATGCCAAAGGAAGTGACCCCGTAGAGGACACCCTGGTGGACCAGCGGTCCGCCAGAGTCACCCGAGCAGGTGTCGCGGTTCTTCCGCTTGGCGCAGATCATCTGCTTGTAGATCTTGATCCCGGTGCCGCGATAGTCCTTCTGGCACTTGCCTCGCTTCACTCTGCAGACAACAACGCCGCGCAGATACCGCTGAACATTCTGGGCGTTGGCGGAGGTCAGACCCCAGCCGCTGGCCAAATAGCACTTGGGCACACGCTTACATCGCCTCGCGGGCAGCTTCACCTTCTGGACACACCGGCCGAGTTTCAGTGGCGACTTCAGCTTCATCATGCACAGGTCGTTCTTCATCGTGTACTCACTGTAGCCCGCATGGCACACTGTCTTCTGCACATGCCGGAGTTGGCCACCCCGCCTCTGTTGTGCGGAACCAGCTCGCACCGTGTATCTCCCGGGACCGCCAACCTTGCAGTGCTGGGCAGTGAGGATCCAGCGACGGGAAAGTATGACACATCCGCAAATGAAGTAGTTGTCAAAATGCAGGGCACACTGGTAGGGCGCCCTGGTGCACTTGATCCTCTTGCCATTCACAATTCGCGTTGGCAGATAGTCCACTGCCTCCAGGGCATTTATCGCTGGGTTAGTGGATATGTTTCCTCGAAAGAAACTCTGGTCCTTGCTTCTTGGTCCCTCGAATAGCATATAGTGGGTGCCATTGTCTATGTAGTAGCCACTCCAGGCAGGACTCTTCTGTTGTCCACCAGCGGCCAGGATCCACAGGTAGGCAAACAGTGCAAGTGCCGAAACACTTCCAATCTTTCCAAAAACCATTTTTATAACCGATCAGGGCCGCGATCGGCTCTTGACTGAAACATCTTAGAACATGAAGTCAACTTTTGACCTATTGGTTCTTTCTTTTTGTTTGTCTTTTGGCCGCGTTGAAGTAGTCTAAGTTAATTAGCTACATTAGGCAAAAAATAAAATCTTATTTTATAAGCTGTAAAATGTTTGCAAAAAAAACCACTATCTCATACCTAAAACGTAGCCGGCGGCTTCTATTTCTTTTATTTATCTTTCTCAAACGGCTATAAATGATTAATAGCTTTTGAATACGCCAGTCTATGTTAAGCTGTCCAAATGTATGCATGATTGGTGCCTTTGCGAATATTATTTAATCGGTTTGGGCATGTCTCTGATTTTTAAGCAGCTTACAGTTTGTTGAGGGTGAACAAAGTAAAAGGTTTTGCTTGGAGCCCAAATAAGTATAGTACGTTTTTCTTTTGATTTTCATAAATTTATTGATCTAATAATTTCTAATGCATCTTTTTATCCAGTCAACGTATCGCTTGCAGTTGACATAAACACCGGGATAGTTCCTATTGGCGCAACCAACGCCCCAGGACACCACTCCGTAGAGGATGCCGTGGCTGGTGAGCGGACCGCCAGAGTCGCCGGAGCAGCTGTCCTTCTTCGAGCGGCTGCAGCAGATCATGTCCTTGTAAATCTGCAAGCCGGCCTTCTTGTACATTTTCTGGCACTTTGCCCTGCTCAAAAAGTCCAGTCCCACACGGCGAAGATAACGCTGGGCATTTTGGGCATTTACCGACGTAATGCCCCAGCCACTGACCACGAATTTTCTGGGAAATCTCTTTATTTCGGGTGAGGGCAGTTTCACGGGCTGCACACAGCGGTTGTAGAAGAGCGGCGACTTCAGCTTCATCATGGCCAGATCGTGTCGCATGGTGTATTCATCATATTCTTTCAGTGCCACGATCTTTCTCACATCACGAAGCTGCCCAAAGCGTCTTTGCTGATCGGTTCCCACTCGCACCTGGTAGTGTTCGGCTGGTCCGAAATAGCAGTGGTGGGCAGTGAGCACCCAGACACTGTTGATGATCGAACAGCCGCAAACGAAGTAGCCATCGTAGTGCACGGATCCCTGGAACGGAGCTTCCTCGCACGAGATCCTATAGCCGTTGACGATCCTGGTGGGCAAATTGTCCTGCGATTCCAAGGCGTTTATGAAGGGATTCGAGGATATGTTTCTGAAAGGTAGGACGTTTGGTCGCGCGACCTTTTGCTTTTCGTACAGCAGATAGTGAGTTCCATTATCCCTGTAATATCCTGTCCACGAAGGATCCTTTTGTCGTCCTTCTATTCCTGCCGCGAGGATCAGCAGCAGACCGGCACATATGGTAAGTTCTAATTTAAGTAACCTATGACCCATTACGATAACCGCTCGCTACCACGATCTCGAACCGACTAAAAATTATTAACTTTATCGAGCCACTTGCAACCTATTAGTAACTGAGTCGGATCTTCTTACTAAAACCAGTCTTTGGATTTCCCATTTCTTTTTAACGACTGTTTGGCGAGTCCAGTTTTAGAATTGGCCCATATACACCCATCTCAGCGGGATTTTGTGTGTCTGGGGGGAAAAAAAATTTGCATGTTCTATCCATTCAAAAACATAATTGGCAAAAACGTGGATAAAATGACCTAGCCTCGTTTTTTTTTTGCCAATTTTTCTTCAAACAAAGAATAAAATTGCGCTGAATTATCAGAAATAAATTTACTTTTCTTGTGGGCAACCAAATGTTAATTATATTTTTGTCATAAACAATGCAGATTAAGTTATAATTTTTTATAAATTGAAGGGGAGCTGCACAAAGAAATTATATCTAACTTATAATGCTAAGAGCTATTTGATTTTTATGATAGAATTTCGAGATCACAAAATAGGAGTATAGAACGTTTTCTTCTGTTGGACTTGCCCAAGATGCGATTAGTCATGAGAGTGTTATAAGGAGGGTCTTGACTTCTTCTTTGGCACAAGCTTTGCATAAATTCCGCCAAAATTTTACTGGTGCTTTGTCTTTGTCTATTGCCGCTAGTGGTAATGGCTTAGAGTGCCTCCCCCCCCGAACCCCTTTTAACCCATAGTTTTTTGCGGCAGGTTACGGCTGCCCATTTTTGGTAGGGCGCCGCTTCCGCATGACTTGAGCTCAGTCTGAGCTCAGGCGGAGACAAAACAATAAAACTATTAATTTAATGTAAATTTTGCGAAGCTTAATTATGTGCGAAATCACAGGGGACACAATGGATGTGGATGTGGACACGGCCGGGCAGGAATAATTAGGCAGGCGCACTCGCACAAAAGTGAAAGGAGCACTACACTCCGGTCTGGACTTGGCCAAAAGCTTCCCCAGCTCCAACTCCAGGTCCAGGTCCAGGTCCAAACCATAATGGTGCCACCGCGCCACCGATAATTATGTAAGCAGGCAGCAGAAATTCATTAGTTCGGCGCCTATGCAAATTTCTTTTTGGCCCCGCTACTTAAATTGCATTTACGCGGGAGCTGCCAGCTGCCAGATAGTCGATAACATTGGCATTTCACTCGACGCTGGCTGAGATTGCTGGCTTATCGTCGTCGAATGGAATGCCAGTTGTTCGCGGAAGATGCAGGAGAATGGAGGAACTCCCTTGCCGCCGGCTATGTGGGGCAGCAATAATATCCGCCAGTTTCGTGTGGCGAAAAGCGTGAAGAATCGCAATTTGTATGGTTTAATTAAAAAATCTGTCAAATGCCAGTTTGTATGCTCATTAATGGGTTTCTGAGGCAGGCCCCGCAAACAGCGAAATCATGCTTGACATAGCATGAACCCGGGCTCCAATAGACCATGCCACACCGTACCGCAGCGATATTATGCTCGATATGTGCGGCTCACGTTGATGTTGATGTTGATGTTGATGTTGATGTTGATGTCTGGCGGCAGATGGGGGAGCTGCCTGCACCTCTTGACAAAACGCCAAACAAAAGACTGAGGCAACGAACCTGGTTATTACGAGCCTGTCGCGGCGGCTCTTGCATAATAGGAACTTTGGACCAAATTGATTTTTAATTATGGCTTGCCAAGAAATATGTTGAAATACCAAATGACGGGCTGTCTGTTCTCGGAAGGTTGCTCCTTTGAGAACGACAGTGTAGCTTTGGAAGGTGGAACTTACCAATGGTTTTTTGTTTTTTTTTTTTTGTTAATATAATTTAGCTGTTATTACTCAATCCATTATAATGACTCAAAACTAAATGACTTTTTCAAAGGATTTTATTTATGTCTTTAAGTGAAACATAAAAACTAATCAACTTCAATGATCAATAATAAAATTGTTTGGGATTTTATTTATTTAAAGTTTCATGCATATACATATGTATGGAGCCATCAAAGTTGATTTCATTTCAGACATTCTCTATTACATAGAGGCTCGATGGCAGTTCCCACTGCGAATGTATGAGGTCATATACATAGCCGTTAAATTCGAAGTAAAAGAAATTAAGATCTCTCGTTATGATCTCCTGGATTGGATTACCCGCAATTCGGTGGCAGCAATTAAGCCATTACAGTGGCCTCTGCAGCAACTTTCATTTTCTGGCATAATTGAAACATAATTTTTGTAGTGTAAAATCGCACCGGCCGACACTCGAACACGCCAAGTGAATTTCACCCATTTCGCACGTTTCATGTCGATCCGAGCCGTTAGTTAATCATTTGATGCCACTGCGCAGACTTTTTGTCAAGTCAGCAACAGCACGCGAGACGCACCCGACCAGTCGCCACATATCGGCAATTATCGCCGGAGCCATCAGCTGCCGATAGCGATGGCAAGTACGGAGTGTTGGGTACTCCCCTTCCCAAAATCCGGGCTCCACTTCAGGCGCACCCAACCCCTTCCTCTCCTTTCATTTCCTCTCCTCTCCTCTCCGGTCCCGTCCGCCCGGGATCCGCCCATCACATGGAAGAATTGTGACATTTAGACACAACAAATCATAGCAGGCGGCATCATTAGATTGCACAGTTGCAAATAATGTGTGAACTACAAGGATTGTATACCGACTTATAAAAAATTTAAAGATAGAGGAACAAATTGCTTGTTTTTAAAAAGTAAAGCAAAAAAAAAAGTATATTAGTGTTCTTTTTCCTTAAAATTAAGTGTTCTTGAAAGATATTTTATAGCGTCTTTGTAAGCAATTTAAGCAATTACCAATCTAAAATAATTATTGCAGTATAGTAGTTAGAAAATATAAAATTATGTTAAAACTGGATTAGATTTAAATGTATAAGAGGATTCTTTCAACAAAATGCGACTTTAAGAAAATGTAAATTTAATTTATTTCTACAAAAATCAAATCTGTGATATTGAGCGATCTTTAAAAACTTAGAGTTAAAGGAAAAAAAAATAACATTCTAATCTAAAATGCATTATTGCTAAAGATAAGTTGTTTTTGAATATTATTGCAAAAATATAAGTAGGTAGGTAGTGTTTTTCTTCAAAATGAACTGTTCTTGAAAGATATTATAGCCTATTTGTAAGCAATTTAACCAAATCACAAATAACAATACTCTAAATTGATTTTTGTCGCTTAAATCAATTTTCTTACAGTTTCAACCAAATAGAAATAAGAAAATGTTAAATTAACTGGATTAGATTTAAGTGTATATGATTTAACGAAATTTGACTTTAAGTAACATTTATTTTGACAAAACTCAAAAGGCTACTAACAATACAATTTGGACCTGCAAATATCCAGCTAATGATAACCTAAATTTTCTTACTGTGTGGCTCTGGTTGCCTCGTTTTGTATGTCAATGGGTGTATAGAAATCGAAAGTTTCACACTTGTCAATTAAGTGTACCGAGTGGTGGTGGCTCTTGGCTCTTGTTGTTGCCGGTTCCACACTTCATCATGCGAGTCGGGCGTCATTGCACCGCCGTGGAACTGCAGTTGAAAAGCGGCTGTCAATGAAAATGAAATTTTATTGAGATTTTTTCCGTTACCCCCTTGGCGGTTCGAAATTAATTAGAAAAGTGCCTGCATTTGTATCGCCGTCCGTGTGTGTTTGGGTAGCTTAATTGCTTTGACGTCTCGTATGCGTGTGTGTGTGTGTGTGTGTGTGTGTGTGTGTGTAGTTATATAAGTTGTTAAATACTTAAGCCATAATAATCTTCAATTGGAAACGACTATCACTTTTACGATAGTCCCCCGATCGACTGCGTCGTCTCATAAAGCTAACAAGCGAAAATCGCTGACTCTTCTAAGCGGTTCTGGTGTGGGGGGCAAAAGTGGTGAAAGTAAACTCTCCACGGGAGCGGGTGACAATGTTGCAACCGACAGTTGGAGGGCTTATGCAATCAATCTCATCCGTCAGCAGCATGATCAGCAACTCCTCCGGTCGATCGATCGATCTGCTCCCGCCGCCTCATTAAACGCACATAATTGTTATATCGATGCAGGCACCTACTCCCGACCGGTTGCATTCAATGGCCAAATTTGGTTAAATAATGCACGATCCACGAGGCTGAATCCACTTTTACCTGGCCAAAAAGACCGCAACGAAAGCGAAAGTTCTTTTGTCTTGCATTGCCCAAAAAACAACAAAAAAACGCAGCTTCGATTCGATTCTTATCGCCCCGCTTTTTTACGCTACTCTCCGCTGCCAGATCGACAGATTTATGCACTTTTCATTTCACTTACCGGCCAACAACTGCAGCGAAACAACCTCAACTACATGAAACGGTGCCGAGGAGCCGGCAACTTTCTTCGGCACTCGACTCGCACCGAGATTATTATGCGCATATGGGGGCGCCAACATTGGTACATTGGGACACCCGATTCCGATTCCGATCCATCGTTCCACCAGCCTCCTCACCCGATTCTTTAAATTGCCACTTGCACTTGACCGAGCAGATGCCGCAGGGCAGGCGGAATTGGGCAGAGGACCAGGAGGACCATATATAAATACGTAGGCACAGTGAGCTGACCATGGTCAATTAGGATCTCTCCAAAATAACATTTTCGGGCTATAACTTTCTAATAGCACAATTCATGGAGTTCTTTGACAATTCTTTAGAGAACAAGTTAAATTAAATTCAGAAAAATAATGGACTTAGGTCAAAGACCACATAGAGACTTACATAAATTAGAAAAAGATTAAACGAAATATTTAGAATCACACTGATATAGAAATAATAAAGTTTTTGACTTAAGAATTTCTCCCAGTTTTCTGCGTGAAATAAGTTAGCGATAAAACTGTATAAGTCAATTTTACTTTGTTTAACCGTTGTCCTTTGAGCTTATTATTATATTAAGGTTTGGCCGAAAATCATTTTTTATAACCAAAAGAGAAATATAATATATACTGTGTAAATATACAATGAAAAAAACCAAATA